TCATTACGAACACATGAATATATCAGTCGTATAATTAATCCTTTATTTACTCATCTCAACATTAAATTGAATTCATGTCGAGTTTGTTTTAGCTCTCTAATATGCATGTGCGTATCTCAATTTTTATGTTAATTTATTTTTTCATATATGTCAAACTGCGATTTGCACCGAGTAAAAATGCCAAATCTTTGGAGCAGGAGTGGCAGCGTACAAATCAACTTTATGTTTTCCAACTCCAATCATTCTGGTAAATTTTAATTTTTCAACAACTTGTCACCATTGTTGGAAATTGGAAAAGCCCTCACCTAGCCCCAGCTGTGATGAAGAGAAATAAAAAGCAAAGAGGAAAGTGGAAGAGGTGATTAACATCAAAAAGGTTTTGTTTTTTCTTTTTCCCCTTATAATTTTATATTGGAAATGATAAAAATGAAATTATATTAAAATATACGAAACGAATTTTTAAGGTCACATAGAATTATCTTTGTCAATAAAAAAAACCGTCTTTATAAAGTCAGGATTTAAAAAATATTTTTTCAAACAAAATAAGGTAGTTTTTTTTTCTTTATTTTATATTTTTATTTTAATGAGAGAGAACACAAGTAAGGACAGTTTTGTTGATGATGAAATGAAAATGTGTCATTGGGTCGTAAAACCCAAACGAAAAAACAAGAAAAAAAGGTTTTGTCAAGTTTGGTCTATCCCCTCGAATTGCCAGACTCCGAGAGCTTAGAAAGAAGACGACCCGAAACCGGAAAGCACCATCAGCTCAGCAGAAGCAGCATCCCACTTTCACCCACCAGGTCCGCCATTTTCTTCTTTGCTTCTCTATTTTTCTATTTTAATCTTACATATTTATTTTCTACCGCATCCCACAAATAAACCACTTACTTAAAATGAAAAAGAAGAAGCAGAAGCTGTCGATTTCCCTTTCGACGTAATTGTGAGTAAATCATTTTGTTCAATGATTATTCAAAAGGAGAAGAACCCACTTAGTGAAAGTCCTAATTTTTAAAGCCTTTTGGGGTATTGGGATCTGTGGCTTAGTCTGTGGATGCGTTCTGAGAATCCCAATTTTCGTTTCGAAGGGATTTTGGGAATCTTTGGTTTATAATTTCCGTTTTATAAAATTCTCGTTTTGGGTTTGAGTTGGGAATCATATTGGGGCAGAATGTTTCCGTTATGATATAATGGGTTATCCGTGATTTCTCAGTTTATTGTCTACTAGGTAATCACCAGTGTCTCAAATGGTCACATTGACTGCTTTGGTGAGCGTTACCATTTTTTGCAGTCGAGTCTGGTCTTATGGTGATTCTCATTGGACCTGCGTTGTGTTGGATGGCTAATGAATTGGAACTCGTGGAGTTCCTATAAGACTGTTAAGCCATGCTTTAAGGCTTGTGTGTTTGCCGTCAGCCTGGGTATGAGGAAATTGATGTCATGGGTGAAGAAGGAACGAGGTGTTATGTAGCGTGACTATGTTATCCGTAGATTCTGTGGCAAATGCAAATTGACTCTGCTGTCAGAGCAAGAGTGATAGGGAGTTTTAGTGCAGTTAATTGCATTAAAAATGGTGTAATCCTCATTTGAATCGCTTGTTGCATGTGGGTCCAACACAAGTAAGTTCAATAATGTTAGAGTCAAAATTTCAAATTTAGGTCAAGAAGTGAGTTTTGCTGTCATTTCACATTTGCTTAAACATTGATACCAGTTATTAAGAAAAATTTGCTCATGGGGTTCTCTTTTGTCTCACAGGTGAGTTAATAGTTTTTCTTTTCCTGTAAAGGATATATGGTTCATCAACACCGAAGAGCCAAAAGGATATACCTTGAATTACTATTCTATATCAGAAGCACCCCTCGCTTATAACTATTTATTAGTTAGTACTGGTATGATTCTTCCCATTTGTGTCTCCTGTTTTTTCAAGTTATGCATGGGTGTGGTCACGTGCACACACACATACACACAAATGCTGCTTCCGTGTTCTTTTGTCCTTCCACTGCTGTATCCATGTATGACAGGAGGTTTCATGTGGTGCAGGTGCTTACAATATCCATTTCTGGCGAATTTTCAGTCTCTTTCAGGATGCGGAGAACCCTTAGAATCATGTGACATGTCTGGTACTGCTCGTGGATACATGGAAGATCATTCTTTACCTGCACCAGACACTTCTCTTAGCTTGACAGAATATGTATTAGATTTAGCTATTGGGCAAGAATTTCCTGATGTTGAAACTTGCCGAAGAAGATTGAAGAATATTGCCCTAGTACAGCATTTTGATCTTCGTATAGTGAAATCAGATCGTAGCCGTTTTATAGCCAAGTGCTCCAAAGAAGGTTGTCCATGGCGTGTTCATGTAGCAAAATGTCCGGGAGTTCCAACTTTTACAGTAAGAACCCTGCATGGTGAGCATACTTGTGAAGGAGTTCTCAACCTTCATCATCAGCAAGCATCAGTAGGTTGGGTTGCTAGGTCTGTAGAAGCACGGGTTCGGGATAATCCACGATATAAGCCAAAAGAGATCCTGCAAGATATCCGTGATCAGCATGGAGTTGCTGTTTCTTACATGCAAGCTTGGCGTGGTAAGGAGCGTAGCATGGCAGCACTTCATGGAACTTTTGAAGAAGGGTATCGCCTTCTTCCTGCATACTGTGAGCAAATAAGGAAAACCAACCCAGGAAGCATTGCTTCAGTTTTTGCCATTGGACAAGAAAACTGCTTCCACCGTCTCTTTATTTCTTACCGTGCATCAATTTATGGTTTTATACATGCTTGTAGGCCACTTTTAGAACTTGATAGAGCACACCTCAAAGGCAAATACTTGGGTTCCTTACTTTGTGCCGCAGCTGTTGATGCTGATGATGCATTATTTCCACTGGCAATAGCTATCGTTGATGTAGAAAGTGACGAAAATTGGATGTGGTTTATGTCAGAATTGAGAAAACTACTTGGAGTAAGCACTGACAACATGCCTAGACTAACAATACTCTCTGAAAGACAAAGGGGTGTTGTAGAGGCTGTGGAAACTCATTTTCCAAGTGCCTTCCATGGTTTTTGTCTGCGTTATGTCAGTGAAAATTTTCGTGATACATTTAAGAATGCGAAGTTGGTGAATATCTTTTGGAATGCTGTTTATGCTCTCACTGCAGTTGAATTTGACAGCAAGATTGCAGAGATGGCAGAGATCTCGCAAGATGTGATACCATGGTTTCAACATTTCCCTCCCCAACTTTGGGCTGTCGCATATTTTGAAGGAGTGAGATATGGCCATTTTACTCTGGGTGTTACAGAGTTGTTGTATAATTGGGCCCTTGAATGCCATGAGCTCCCTATTGTGCAAATGATGGAGCACATTCGTCATCAGTTATCATCTTGGTATAATGATCGTCGGGATATGGGAATGAGGTGGGCATCAATATTAGTACCATCTGCTGAGAAGCGGGTTTTGGAGGCAATGGCTGATGCTCGATGCTATCAAGTACTTCGTGCAAATGAAGTTGAATTTGAGATTGTGTCGACTGAGCGGACAAATATTGTAGATATACAAACTCGTGTGTGCTCATGTCGCCGTTGGCATATATATGGTTTACCTTGTGCACATGCTGCTGCTGCACTTATGTCTTGTGGACACAATGTCCATTTATTTGCTGAGCCTTGGTTCACTGTAGCAAGTTACCGAGAGTCCTATTCACAGATGATTAATCCTATTCCAGATAAGAGCCTATGGAAGGAGCCAGGCGAGGGAACAGAGGGTGGAAGTGCCAATGTTGATATCACAATACGCCCACCCAAGACTCGGCGGCCACCTGGAAGACCCAAAAAGAAGGTCCTTCGTGTAGAGAACTTCAAGCGCCCAAAGAGAGTTGTTCAATGTGGTCGCTGCCATATGTTAGGACATTCTCAAAAGAAATGTACCTTGCCAAGTTGACCTGAATTAGCGTTTGTTAAAATCTTTCTTCCCCCTTTGTTCTGGTTCGTTTATCCTTTCTTTGTTCTAAAAATGCAGTAGGATTAGTGGTGTGTTTGTAATGTTAATGTAATGTTTTAATTAACTATTTAGTTGCGAAATAAGGATTTAGTCCTTTTTTTGGCACAATTCCTTTCACTTATCATGTGCATACAGTGGCAGTATGTGTTTTCTGGATTTACACCAAAGCATGACTAAGTTGTAATGGACATTTGAACATGTTCTTGAGCATTTGTTTCTCTTGTTAGATTGTATTATAATTGTCCAGGCCTAAACATCTAAAGGTTCCATCTGTGATTGATCGATCGTATAGACATCTTTTGCATTTTGGGTTTGATGAATGAATTTTTGCATTTTGGAGTTTCAGGAATGAATTTTCTCCTTTTGGGGTGTCGATAATGAATTTTCAACTGCCGAATCCATTCCAAAATGTGCAATTGATCATCTCCTAAATTACCATTACCAAAGACATAGAAAAATAGGCAATGATTTTGGCATTTAAGGGTTTCAATGATGAATGTATTTTGAGGTTTCATGGTTGAATTATAGTATTTCAAGGTTTCGTTGATGAATTTCATATTTTGGGGCTTTATGAATGAATTTTTGCATTTTAAGGTTTCAATAATTATTTTTGCCCATTACTGTTTCCTCCCTTACATTAACCTTACAATAGATGTGAAAAATACAGCTATCATTCAAAAATATCTGCAGATACAGCACTTTAGGGCACAATATCATACAAAACCAAACTTAAAACCATTGCGCTCAGCTCAAATTGGGTTTCAAATAATGACTGTTGACAAAATATTGTCGCAGACACCGTCACAACTTTTGTGTCTAAATCTAAATTTGGAGAGTACTATCCAGACTAACAGATGACAGTTAACACAAAATTTGTAAGATAAATATTCATAGATGCGTGTGTAAATTTCTTTCTGCCTCAACTCTAGCTGAATATATTGCGTAGGGGCCTCACTGCCATACATGCATCCACCATCTGAAAAATATGCAAAAACGTTCCATCAATCCTTCTAAGTCATAACTGAGATTTCATATAATTCAAAATGTTTGCTTTCAATGCCATGTGCCAACAAGCATCTTTCAAAATCTATATGGGAGGCCAGAATCAGCAGAGTGACAAATAACAATCTATAGAACGATCAATCCTTAGCCCCAGAAGCTTACCTCATCAGTCACAGCAGCCCTAGCCCTACGATGTCTTTCAACTAGTTCAGTCAAAACTTGAATAAGCAGTTGCTTAACTTCACCTGTTAGCACGCGTCCTGCACCGTACTCCTATAGTACCCGAAGTAAATTAGCAAAAAAAGCAGGCATCATTTGTACTAACAAAAAAATTTATTGATTAAAAAAACAAAAAAACAAGTAAGCTCATTAGGATACCAGTCTCACCTTCCTTATCGCTTCGAGTTTATCATCATCATCCATGAAAAAACTGAGATATTTGAATGGTAAATCTACCTGAATAATGTCCGGAAGATAAAATCATTCCTCAATAAGTTACAACGCACCAAGTACTGACAGACAAATCTTATAAGACATGAATCAAATTGGCATGTAAGTGCAGACAGATGAGCAGAATTGTTTTTCTTGCTTGGACAATCTATAATGAGAAGAGAAGGTAGTAGATCCAGCAACAAATAACACTCTCAAACCAAATGGGGAGGACAAATTTCTATTAATAACATGTGAGACAATTCAAACACCTCGAGATTTACTCCATGCTCTCTATGTCCCTCTATTGAATCTTGTCCACCAGAAAATGCATGCCTGTTTATCTGCACACGCACACAAAATTCTTTATTTTGTTAATCCTGAAGAATTTTCGGACCATTTGGAGTGTGTGATTTCAGGTAGAAACATTTGGCACTGTGAAACTACGGTTTGGTGGTGTTGGAAAGCTAAGACAAGAGGAGATGCTGGTTTTGGAAAAGGAAGACAGCTATTTGAAGAAACAGAGAAGCATGTTTTTCACAGAGAATTTAAAGGGTTACATTTTGCAACCTTGCATCAATTAAAGACTTTGGTCCTAGCATAAAAGAACATCGATAATGAGTGTGTAACATTCTTAATAAATACAGAGGTTGTACAAATAAACCCACAGCAACAGCAAACGCAAACCTTATTCTTAGTTTCCTTTGCAGAATCAGTTACATAAATGGCAGAATTTGGATCACCGGCCGACATTTTACCGGTCTCACCCTGCAAGTATCCACATTCCAGGAAATATATCAGCAATCACATGCATACCACATCATCCAATTCTGGCATGACCAGTTTCACCGGAAATTATTTGTATAATTTTAAGGCTGAATATTCATGTTACAATAATCAACGTTTTTTTATATTAATTATGGTCCTTGTGAACAATTATATATTCATGTTTATGTGTGAGTGCATGCATACAGGTAGGTGTCTTCAAAATCCACATTAGGGCCTAAACATATCTGCAAACATCAAAATTTAGCACCCCCACTGGAAAACATTGGTCAAATGAAACAGAACAGTCTCTAGTGCAAAATCATTGGTCCAATTAAAGACAAAAATCAGAAAAATAAACAGCCAAACAAGTACAGAAAGCCAGATTCTGCATAAAAATCATCAACTAAATTATATCGTATCTTTCTTATCCCTTTTTAAAAACTTAGGAACCACTTTAAGTAGCACACATGTATTCTGCGCCAAAACTGTGGGAGCAGATATTTTCGTCTCCAATCACAACGCGCCACGTGGAAAAGAAGATTATCTCTTTTAATTAATTAATTGAACCAGTTTATCTGGCCAATTAATTAATTGGGATAAATATCTTAATTAACATGATATTATCTTTATTTAATAAGATAATATCATTAATTAAGATATTATCCTAATAAAGAGAAGATAATGTCATTATCTCATATATTATCTCCATAAAAAGAGATAATATCATT